TTGACTCGCCATGGTTTAAAGGTAAAATCAGAAACGGTCAAATCGCAAAAACGCTTTACACATACACGCAGTGGAACAAATCGGTAAATACACAAACGAAACAATTTCAGTAATGCGCAGCAAACGTAATAATAAAATTGGTAGAAAAGTAAAGTAAGTCTAAATACAACATAAAATGATACTATCTTAAGTGTAAAATAGCACTAAACTTTCACTTGAACGAGTGTAAACGCAGCATCCGTCGCGAAGTATCAGTGGAGAGCTGTTAGTCACCTGACACAATGTTGCGGGTGATTGCCGCGCGTGGCGCGCTTTTCAACTTCCTCCTCGTCAAAGATGACGTAGCTCCGGTAGAGAAAGAAAAATGGCCGGCCTCGATGCGAAAAATGCCGGCTCAGCGCTACATAGAATGGACAAAATACGAGTCCAATAGCGATGTAGATTATCGTAGATGCGTTTACAGTTGTTGCGATTATAGCTTCATGGCTGTTCTGTACAATCTCACTCGCAGGCTATACCATAGTCTCACTCGCAGGTGGCTTTTCTAGTCTCCCTAGCAGACTTCTCTGCACGGAGGGAAAAACAAAAAGAAGGAAGCGTACCTAGGCGGCGTCGCAGAATGGAACAAACCTCGATTATCGCGGAAATTGTTGTTTCCGAGCGAAACTGCAGAGCGTAGCGACGTGGGCTCGCATTTTATCACATCACGTCGGGGTCACCAGTTTGGGAGCCGGCAGGAGGGAATAATTAAGATGCAGTACAAAGAACAAGCCGTGTTGAGAAAACCATCATCTTTTATTGTCACTCGTTGCTATAGAAATTTGTCAATAATAGGGTAATGCTAGACCGATGAGAGTAAGGGTGTAAAAGATAAGAGCGGTGCTACACAGTAGCAAATGAGTCGCCACACACGTTACATCTTCAAATGATTTTTACGGAATCAATCAAATGTGACACAATTCAGTCTGAACAAATAAAACTAACTTTCCAAATTTAATTTAAAGCAATTCAAACATAATACACAAACCAAGAAGATCAGAGTTGATATCAAAAGAGTATGTATAATCTGAGATTACCAATCAACAGTTCGCACTCAAAGTGCCAGACAGGCTTGTGCACACCATTCGGGCCTTCCTGTCGAACCGCTCCTTTCGATATCGAGTTGAGGGCGCCCTCTCCACAAGCCGCCGCCTCACGGCTGGCGTTCCACAAGGCTCCTGCCTCTCTCCCTTACTCTTTACGCTCTACACGAGCGATATACCAAAAGACCCCCACGTCAATCTCGCACTTTTTGCGGATGATACGGCCCTGTTTTACACAGATAAAAATCTTAATCAACTCTCTACTCGTCTCCAAAGCGCCGCCGACCGCCTCGGCGATTGGTTCCGCAAATGGAGAATTGAAGTAAATCCCGAAAAGAGTGTGGCGATTCACTTCAAACGAAGTACTTACCCGTCACCTCTTTATAAAGGTCGTCGCCAATGCAGAAAGCTAGGGCAAATATCTCTTTATGGCCAACCGCTCCTCTGGGAGAAAAAGGTAAAATATTTAGGAGTCACTTTCAACTCGCATATGTCATTCACAGCGCATATTAATAACTTCCGTAACAGAGCCGCATTCGTCTCCGGCCGGCTAAGCACTTTAACTAACCAGTCAAGTAAAATGTCCTTAAGACACAAATTACTTTTATACAAAGCTTGCGTACGGCCAATCATGTCCTACGCATGCATGATTTTCGTTCACACGCACCCTACTACCTTGCACAAATTGCAAGTAGTGCAAAATAAGTTCATCCGCCGCGCAACCGGTGCGAAGTGGTATCAACGCAACGTCGCCCGCGAGACGTCCTCATCGACCCGGTCGAGGAAGGGGACTTAGGTACGTCGGACCCACCATCGGGGGTCCCGCCTTATAACACTACACACACAGTTGGTGTAGCAACAAACACCCCGTTCGCCCTCGCCTCCGAGCACGGCGAGACCAACACAAAGCGTACACAAGGTACACCCGGTGGTACACGAGGCGGTTCTCACCGCCCCCAGCCACCGATTAGCTAAAATCACAGTCGACGGCCATCGGGGTCTCGGTCCGCACCGCAACTTCGATGGCCCTTAGATAACATGTCGTAGTTAAACGCACGCATGAGCAACTGCGCGGCCCTACCCACAGCGGAAGGCCCAAACCCGTGGGTTCTGGCTAGCCCATCGGCTCTGCGTCAAATGAAGCTTTAATAGTCTCGGGACTGAAAGCACAAGCATCTGTTAATAATAAAGAAAAATAATAATAATCAAATATACAGCGAACTTAACTGGATAAATGATTACCGTATAATATATACAGCGTGTCGTTACAACCGCGACAATAAATGAACATACGTCTAACGCTACTTGCCAATAATCATAAAAAATATAAAACGTTAAAAAATCCATAATTAAAAAAAATATATTTATTCATAATTCTAACTAACTAATTAAATAAAAAAGAAACAAAATTTGTAACTCAACAACAAAATAACTACAACTGACTGACATTCAGAGACTTTTTCATTCGTTCCCACAACGTCGCATTACAAGTCTCTCCTTCTAACAGTATGTTTTGTCTCTTTTAAATTCATTCAACCCATTCATATGCTTTGTGACCTTTACAAATGAACTTTACGTTACAGTTTCATAAGTAAGGTTGTTCTAAAAATGTTTGTTTTGTAAAATTTAATAACTCGGTAAATATTGATGTTTAAAGAATGTAAATGCTTAATACAATTTAAAAAAGTTATCCTCTATATGTGTATTCATTTATTGTCGCGGTTGTATAAAGCATTCCCAAAATTTTTTATACAACACATATGTTGTTAGCGCTCCTAGAGCCAAGGCTTCACCGATGCTAAAGTGATAAACACTTACTGTCCTCTTTTTTCTTATTGCTTGAACTACCATAGGGTAGTAACCAATAGGAGGGTAGTACCATAGGTAAAAGTATAGACTTTTAAAACCATTGGAAACGTGTGTTGGCACTCTGTTTGGAAATAGAACACTTTCGTCTGGTGACTGTAATTTATATGCGAATAAAATATGTATGGTATAAAATATCATCGCATATAACTTTTATCAATCTTTTAATTTTTCGTAGATCTTTTTTATAATCGACTTCGTCCGCGTGGATTTAAAATAAATAAAACCTAAGTCTAAGCCTAAGTCACTCCTGGTTACATCAAAGAGAATGTAATCACTACGTTGGATTACATCAGTTATCTCTGCCAGTGAGTCACGTCAATATCTTTCTTTTTTGATTTTATGGCCCAATATTAAGGACCTTTAGGCCCACACGTCAATATCGGTCCAGCCGTTTCATAGATTAGCCGGAACAAACTGACAGACAAAAACTTTTAAAAAATGTTATTTTTGTATAATATGTACCGTGTATACATCCAGATGCATTAAGTAAAAAGTGGTTATTTTAATATTACATACAAGCAGACACTCCAATTTTATTTATAGATATCCTTTAGGTCGTCAAGCTAGAACTGGCTAATTTGACGATCTAGGATGTGTTAACAAATTCCTTTCAATACGTACATCTACTACTGGCAATTTACTACATAGACCAAATAATGTGCTTTAGGTATGCCAACTGCAGTTTGTTAAGTAGTTTTACTATATTTGTGTAATACACATATACACTGCGTATTATGAAGGTAATAAAGGAAAAATGGAATGAAACAGAACTTAAAAATCAACTTCAATTTATTCTCAATTTCTTACTTTGTTATTTTATGGAATTTACGCAATACAAATGTTTCAAAATATAATTACAATAGTTAACAGTTATTAAATTTTAAATGCAGATTTATTAGTAACAATGTCATGGAGAAATCTAATGAAAAACAAAAGTACTTCTAAGCCGAAAGTTCAATACCCGAAATTATGTAAATTAAAGCAATTCTCTGAACTTGTTGATAGACCTATATTTTAAATTCACTATATTCAGTAGAATTTTTCGCATTACATTAAGCCTCTCAATCATTCCTTCCAGGCAAGACTTAGGCATTTCATTAATTAACATGAACAAATGGAAACTAAGCTGCATAGTATGCCATGACATTGAAATTCAATATATTGATAGCTTCATGATTATTACACAATAAAATAAGACAAACGACAAACACAAATTTGTTTTAGATATATTATTCATTAAGCATTTACAAAAATTATACCAAATTAAATTGAACAAAATTTTTTAAAGATAATTTAATAAGAATTGCCACGCATACAATTATTGGCTTAGTTGTCTCCTTGGATGCCCCAATCCGTATACCTTTACTAAGTTATTTTCAATGCATGCATCGTATGCACGCTAAGAAGCGTTCTAATTCTCGACGATATATTGATCGGAGAGCATAGAGATGCAAAACATAGTAAATGGACCATTGTGAGAGATAGTAATAATGATAGTAATTCTCTTACGTACTTCTAATTTGTTTCACTTTAAAGAAGCTACCCTTCTCACATTTTGCGTTTCTATACCCACTAGCGCAGCCCTCGTGACGATCAACAAATTAGGGCTACATACGTATCGCGTTGACGCCACTGGCATGTAGGACTTACGCTCAGTGGTTTTTGGAAAGAAACAATAATATTTTCTACTTTTATTACTGTACAACAGTCGCATTCCGTTGGCAAATTATTATAATTAAAATAAATAATATTAATTTAGCTATAAATTGCCTAGTTACCAACTGGAATGGGCTCAGTGAACACGCGGGTGGTGAGATAACAAGTCCATTCTAAATAGGCCCCTATTAAGTTACAACGGCCCGTTTAAAAGTTACACCTAAAGGGTTCGCGTTAAATAATTTACGACAAATATTTACAAATCATCGTTATTCACAATGAAATAAGTGACTTAAATTAAAATAATTTAAGGTAGTCGGGGCATGCTAATAGGAATCAGTCGTTCAGTGGCAACACGGAGCGATCGGCTCGTGCGCGTTCATGCGCGTTCGGATGCGTTCGTCCTCGAACGTGGGCGAGCGTATGCGAATGGCCGCGTTCGTCCGCGAACGTGGGCGAGCGTATGCAAATGGACGCGTTCGTCCTCGAACGTGGGCGAGCGTATGCGAATGGCCGCGTTCGTCCGCGAACGTGGGCGAGCGTATGCGAATGGCCGCGTTCGTCCGCGAACGTGGGCGAGCGTATGCGAATGGACGCGTTCGTCCTCGAACGTGGGCGAGCGTATGCGAATGGCCGCGTTCGTCCTCGAACGTGGGCGAGCTTATGCGAATGGCCGCGTTCGTCCGCGAACATGGGCGAGCGTATGCGAATGGACGCGTTCGTCCGCGAATGGCCGTAGTCGTCCGCGAAGCGTCCTTCGTTCGGTCGCCCGTGCGCTTTGGAACAAATGTGGCGCCCGGCGTGGCGACGCTTCGCGCAAGACCCCGCCCGCTCTCGATTCGGGGCGCGGCGCTCCTCTTCCGGATGATTCTCGTGCTCGAAATGAAGGCTAGTTAATGTCCTAGGAGTGTGCACTGCTGCAGGCGCGACTCGGTGTCGCCTCGCCGCCGCTTAAGTCGTGTCGCGACCGTATGTGCCGATGCGCACCTCGTCGATCACACGCGCCCATTCCAGCGCGTACGACTGCGGATCTTCCAAGTAATATGTGCGGTTCGGCTGCAAGAAAACGATCTACCGTTATTTCCTATGATTTTCAAAATTATTCTATGCAATCAATTTACAACTGGATTGTTACATTCCAAATAAGAGACATACACGTACCGTATGTACTAAGAATATTCGGAAGTTCTTTGCTTCAACTCGCAACTCCGGTGACCAAGGTATTTCACCTTTTAGGACCATATTAACTGGGTCCACGTAGAACAAGCGAGGTCCAGTTGTCAGCAACAACATTCTGCGTCGAGCAAATAATCCCTTCCTCTTCTCCACGAGGCCTTGCTTCAAAATCAACTCCCCGTCAACGAATGGGTGCCATTTGTTTTCGCGCGCTTGGACTTCAAGGCGTCGACGTCTTTCTTCAGGACTTATATTTAGGATTCCTAAAACAAAATAAAATTTTATAAAAGCTGTTTTATGAAAGAAATAAAAATTCTTAATATACTACTCCCGAGTAAAAGGGTTCACTAAAAAGGGACGACTTGAGATGTGATACAAGATAACGTTATACATTGTTCCCATCCATACAGATCACACATTACTCATTCTACTAGTAAATATGTCGCACAAACATACTGTTATATGGATAAATTCTCGGAAATATTCATTTAGCGCCATTAATCAATTAAGGAGTGTAGCATCGCGTCCGCTAAGCTGCTTGTGAGGCGGCCATTATAAACAGATTGACCGGGCGTGGCAGTCATTCATGCGGTGTCTGTCGCAAGCACTTAGGAGCGCCGGGATCTTTCGGCGCGCCGGGCTGGTGACGTCACTGCCGCTATTGCACCGTAATAATGCAAACAATAAAGACGCCCCGCACGAATGCGAACAACTGCGTCCGCGATGACGCATTAGTGCAGTTCGCAGTCGCTCTATCTCGACGAAGCATCAAAGCAACGACTGTTTTACAGCGGCCCGTTTCATGTGCCGTTCCAGTTTCGAGGCGCGGCACGAGCAACGGAAATGCCGCAGAGCTATCATGAAACGACATGCGTGTAAATTCTCAAAGAATTTGGGTCACGGGCGCACCAGCCGCCTCTTACTAGATGCTTGAATGCACTTAGCAACACTTTTGCAACCGTACCGCGTAGTGGGCGTGAAGGCAAGTGTTCCGTGTACAAGTTTGGTTTTAACTTTGGGAGTTATGTAAACACACAAATAACAAACAGAACGGAAGGTGACACTTACCTCTAGAGGTCGATAGGTCAAATTCCCAAAGTCGCACTAGCTGATTGTTCCCTAATCCCGGCTCGAGATGGTCGGGTACGGTGTACTCCTCTTCGAACGAGCCACCGGGCAAATACGGACTAATGGTCGGCGGCGTTTGGTCCCAAATGTTGTCCCAATCGATGCCTTCGAAGAACGGATGGCTGCGGATGCTCTCGTAGGTGTCGCCCTCGTCGTCCGCCCCCAACCTCTTCGTGTGGTCCAAAACTAACAATTTCTCCACCAAATCCTTCGCATCCGCCGGGAAACCTTCTGGAAACTCGTAGTCCATCTTGAGTATCTTCTGGAAGGTTAGGAACTCCGTGGACGCCCTGAACGGCGGTAGCCCAGATATCATCTGATATACGATGCAGCCGAAGGCCCACAGGTCGGAAGCGCGCGTGTCCACACGATTCTGTAACAGGTCCGGACTAACATACTGCGCCGTGCCTACGAAGCTGATCTTCCTGGAGCGATCATTTTTACTAGGGCTCTCATCCTCCACTTCATTTGTTACTGTCGGCGGCGTGTTCGAGCGGATTTCCTCCGGGTCCAATATCTTCGCCGTCCCAAAGTCCGCTATTTGTAAATGCATATTTTCGTCTAGCAATATATTCTCCGGCTTCAGATCGCGGTGTATAATTCCCTTAGAGTGCATCTTTTCTAAAGCCAATAGAAGCTCGGCGGCGTAAAATTTAGCTACGTTGAGCTCAAAGGAGCCCACTTTATTTATATAAGGCAACAGTTCGCCGTTCTTGGCGTATGACAATACGAAGTATAATCTCTCGTCGTCTTGGAACGTGCAGTACAGTTTCACGAAACCGTGCGGCACGTTGAACAGCATGTTCAGGGCGTCCTTTTCGCGTTTTATGTACTCTCTCTTTTTGTGTCTTATGATATGGAGCTTCTCGCATACTTTAACTGGAAAAACGAAATTCCGAAATTAGTGCGGTCCAAAAAAGAAAAAGAAATAAAATTAATGTCCGCGAAATAGCGCCCGCACCACAACTTACTTGCGTATTCCTTGCCGGTGTGTATGTCCTTAGCGAGGAAGACCGTGCTATAGCAGCCGTCGCCGATGAGTTTGCCGAAGATGTAGTCCTTGGCGGTGCGCTTGGTGGGCCTGAAGGACTGGCTGGAGGCGGGCGTTGCGGCCGGGGCGGGCACCGGCGCTGCGGCGGCCTGCGACGCCTGCATCTTGACGGGCGACTCCGCCGCGGACTCCGAGGTGGCGATTGGCGCGCGGACTTCGCTTCCGGCCCGTCCGCTCGGCTGCAACAAACCGATGCGCAAGTTACACCTCGGAAACGCACCCGTAAACATCAACGGTCATTGCGATCTACGACTCCCGTAGCGGTGTATGGGAGGGCGTATACGTTTTGCGAACGTTTCGCGGGCGAGACGGGTGGACGCGTCGGTGCGGCGTTACAGCGTGCGCTTGTTTACGAGGCGGCGAGGAGATGCTGTCTCGACGCGCGGTGGGGCGAAAGGGGCAACGCGCCGTCTGCCGCGTCGGATCTTTTTTTTCTCACTCGGCAGAGATCAAAACCTATCCGTATCCGTTATAGTCGCAACGGAACCGCGCGAACCGGATTCTGGGCCGCTGGCAGTTCTCAATGACGCGATAGTTTGACGGTTACATCAAAAGACATTATTCAAATCATTCGACGTTAGTGACAATCTACAACGAAACGGCCGACAAAACTCTTTGGTCACTGTTATAAATTTAAAAAGTTAAAACGCCCCCCCCCCCCCCCCCCCCCCCCTTTGTTAATGTTAGTACTTTTAAATGACACAGATAACGCAAAAGCGAGAATTTGCACTCTGCGAATTATCCAACGCTAGCAGACCGTTCAATGGCCTCACATACAGTTCGATGATCCAATTTCAAAAGTTTGCGGCGCGAGCTTTTTTGTTGATTTTCTTATGGAGGTGTCCGCGATAAAAAATATACATAGGTCCATTCAACGTGCAAATAAAGGATAAATAGAGATGTTTGCTTTGTCATTTTCTCTTTCTAGCGGCGTTACAGACTACAGAGTTAACGGTTAATTTACTAGAGACAAGCTTAATGCAAAAACATACGAAAACGGTTACGCGAGTACCGTTGTGCGGATTTCAGAAACTTCAAACTGATTTTGGTAAAATTTGAAATATTAATTAAACATTACTGATAACACGAAATGTTAATTTCTAAACGTATATATTCCAAGTTGTATCTTTATGTTAACGAGATTTATTATTGCACACTGCAAACGGCAAGACAAACAGGATTAGTTACACGCGGCGGACGTCCTCGGCAATGACCTTACACAGTATTATTACATATTTATTTTCGCACTTTCTTGTCATCTGGGGTTTAATTTAATAATATGAACATTTCTCTAGAACATAACAATAGTTGAAGTTACAATTAAGGTTACATAAACTAGACCATGCAAATGGAACAAAAAATGTTTTCGTTAAAACAAATTATTATCGCGCTGGTTTACACTCATTGCTAGTTTAATTGCTCTGTAACACACGTACAATGACGAACAAGTTACCTGCAAATTTAAACCATTTTCTAAACGGCGCGGCGCATCGAATGAAAAATATATTCTCCGTATCGTTTCTCGATCGTTCGTTACTTGTTTGTAGCGTGAAAATATCATAGGAGGCTAGTTAAAGGACGCGCGGTGGTCCAGTTTCGGGCGTCGAGTGTGGTCGATTTGAGCGGCGCATGACTCACTAATAATAAATAAATCGCGCTGGTCCACGCAGACCGCAAGTGGGTCTCGCATTCCGCGCGGAGCCGTGAACACCGGTGCAACGGTAACGCATTCCGCGGCCTCAATCCCCCCCCTCCCCCCCCCCCCCCCCCCCCCCCAACCCCACCGCCTCCCGCGGCGGACAACCCCACCACAGCGGACGACGACCGCACCTACGATTCATCGGGCCCAAGATTGTTTTTTTGTTTGTAAAGCGACAACAAAACAAGATGGTGGAACATCGCGCCGAGAGAAATAAATCGACCTACCTTAACGTTCGGCGAAATAGATTTTCATAGTGCCTCTACCCACACGAGCGACATAAATAAGTTAGAATCGCTCGGTCTAAGCTACATCCGGTTATAACAACGCATACCATTCACGTTTAAATGCCGCGGTCGTAAAAAGTATTCGAGTAAAGCTTTGGTAATAAAATGAGTGCATGTATTGAGCGCAATAGTTTGGCTTTTATCGGCCGTTATTGTTCTTATTTATAATTTCTTTAGTTTCAATCGCGGTCAAAATTAACCACGAAATGGATTGTTATATATAATCATTCGCCGAGATATCTTACGCCACGCTTCAACTGAATGGCTGTCTCGAAACTAATTTTTATCTATACAAATAATTTGTTTTGTAATATAATAAGTATCAAGATTTACTTTAAAAAACTAACAACTAACGTATTTTTTTACATAATTTAATACATTTGCAAAGATTCTCTAACGCATTTGGGGCCTAGCGCTGCTTATCTGGAACGATAATGTGGGTGTAAGCCAGCCTTCTAACGTTACGTGTTCGCTTTGCCGATACTGATGACGTCACCGATGTCGGCAAACAACTTCGTCATGATGTTAGCTCTAGATAAGAAAATATTAGCAAAAATCAAATAATCTGTATAGCGGAGCCTTCTATTAACCTGTTCCAGTTTTAAGAATGGCACCTAATTTGCTATTAAGTATTTTCAGCATTCTTATAGCTTTAATGGAAAAAAGTTGATAAAAAAATTCTCGATTGTTGATACGCAAAAATTTCATAATAGGGCCTCAATATTTCTAACCTTGGTGCATATTGCGAAAAAAGATATATATAAATACATAATTGAATTATATTTACGAGGTTGGTACGAGTAATAAATAAGAGTGCGCCGAAAAAATATCTATAATTTTTATAAGTCACTACAAATGAGTAATGAATGCGGATTGCGAAGCGTGTAGTGGTAAACAAGATGGTCACGATGGCGTCGCGTGAACAAACAAGTGTCGTGTCAGTAGTACCGTCGTTTGCCGCTCGCCTTCTGATTCTGACGGTACAGTACAACAGTCAGTTGGCGCGAGAGTCGGTCGGTCATTCGCACGCTCGTACTACATGAAAAACACGAGCGAAAGTGCGCGACCGAGCTAGTGCGGCGAAAGTTTATCAACAAATCCACCTACCAATTCTTTGCCACGTTTTCACTTAAATTAACGCACAAATATATTTAAATTTTTTAATATTTAATTAACTTTGAAGGATGGGTTTATCTCTTTATTTTTAAACAATGTTTACATTTTAACAAGATAATATGTTTAAAACACCTCCAACAAAATATGCCAAAAGCAGTTACGACTTGTATTATTTAAGTGATTTTCCATTACAAATAAGAGACGAGAATAGTCGTTGAACTTACCTTAGATTTGGGCGAGGGTTGTTTCCCGCGCTTCGTAGAGCTTACGCCAAGTAATCGCAGAATTCTGTTAGCTGCTTCTAGAAGTGTAGCACTACCCCTCGATCCCCTTTTAACTCTGATGGTCAATCCGCTCATTTCTACCCGTCGCATACGTTGTGTCCAATTGTTTTATTAAAGTACGAAACGGCCAAAAACACGATCACAGTTCATGAAGTTCGTTTGTTTGAAATTTAACCGAACTAAACACTTAGATAGGTTTGTAAAATACACTAAAAGATTGCTATTATACTTTGGAATGCAGAATTATTTAAGGTAAATTACAATATTTTACTAAAAGACGTTAACCGATTTGAGTTTACGACAGCGCGTTGTTCGCGTATAGTTCGTTCAACGGCGCGGTGCAGACTAGATGTGAACTCGTAACAAACAGCGCTTGACGCGAGCGAAGCATTGACTCCGTTCTGTAGACGGAATAATCGCACGGCCGCCGCTTTAACGTACGGCGCGCGGCTGTGGCGCCCCTCTCCCCCCCCCCCCCCCCTTCCTCACCCCCCGTCCCTCGCTCGGCTTTGCTCTTCCCGCCGTAGAAATGTAGAATACGACTATGAGCGTCTGCGAGCGAATGCATAGTTTGAATTTGTCATGAACAGTCATACTACCTTCCTTGCCATCCATCTGAAATACTATACGATGTTTCTTATTGTAGTTTACGTTACATTAGAATATCCATTATAAACTTAGTTAAAGGAACACTGAAGCTCTGTGAATTTATAAATACGTATATAATGGACTCTATCTCTATCAATAATGTGCATTTGAATCTTTCGCTACGATTAATAACCACGGTAGTAAACATAAGATTTTTTATTTCCAAATTAATATTTTTATCTAAATAGATAGTCACGTTAAAAATAATGAAAATGCGCTGGGCAGTTTAAATATTGACAAAATAAGATATGCCAATACTTTAGAAAAATATCGCAGAAGTAGTAGCTCGCACGTGGTTTTATTTGGAAGAGGGTCTTTCTAGACGAAACGATGCGACGCGATACAGGAAGAAGGCGGGGGTAGATTAGGAGCACAGGGGGCCGGGGAGCGGGAGCGAGCGCGGGCGAGAGGCAGAAAATCAATATTAAGATGTGCAGCAAAAGAAAACCGCGCCATTTATGTTTAACCACGAAATGCGTTAATTGTGACCTAGTCAACGGCGACATCGCGCTATCGCTGCGAACTGTTTTATCTTAGACAGGAAATGCAACGCGCCCTCTTTTTTTATTTCGGGATTCTTATCGAATCGAAATTTGTTTCCAAATATGAATGACTACAATTCGATACACTGACGCGAATATCGGTGTTCGATTTATGGAAATGTTTCACGTTAAATTGGAACACACAAACTTTTGGGGACAGAGTTATTATTTCGCCGTACAAAATGTTATTTAATCTTTCGGAAATACTGCAGCGGTATGTTTAAAAATCAGTTTTTTTGGATATGCCACGTGTCATTTGGATGAATGCGTTATACGTTAATAGGTTGAGCGGGTACCGCGCAGCTGCCGAGGCACGTGCAGGTCCGTTCGATCTGGTCGCATGTGTCAGTACACAAGCAGTTGGGATAACTTTATGTGGTAATATCGGCCGAGCACGCTTTGGCCAAAACTATTGACTTAGAAAAATACTTAAAACCAACGTCGATAATAGAGATAGAGAGAACCTGAACTAATATAGAAGGTACCCTAAAATTAATACAACGTCCACATCCACAAAATATCACGGGGACTGTGGCCATCTGTAATGGGAATCTTGATCTTGCAAAGAACTGTGGCAATGCAAATCTGAGTTAAAAATGTACTATAAGTAGGGAATATCTCGGAAAAGAAAATGAAATAAGGTTTTATACGGATTTGAGAACCATTCCATCTGGAAATCTAAGCTTTATAATGAATTCGAAGCTTACGATTCCAGCCATGTGATATATGCTATAATGCGTAAAAGCGCAATATCGATGCTGAACATACGTCAACTTCCAACTGATACAATATTGGACACTAAGAGAAGGGGGGAACATAATACGGGCGGTTGAACGATCCCTTCCTTAAAAAAATACACCTCCTGTCTCTTACCACCTATCTGCTTACCGTCCGTTGTTGAGAGTGCGACAAGAAGTTTGTTTTGAAGGAACTTCCTGTGCGCCGCACTGGAAGGCGGCGTCGTTGCACAAGGCTCTTACTAAAAGACGAATTCAGTGTCGTTTTTTTTTTAATAATATAGTGATTTAACTTTACAGTTCGATTGCTTTGTTTGAGATTCTTCAAAGATTTGTCGCTTACAAAAGGGCGAATTCAGTGTAGGTAGTTTTTAAATAAATGAGGCGCTCATTGCGGCCTCCGATTGTGATAATATATTTATTGTGGTTTTCCGTTTTACTGTTGGAATGTTTCTTTTGAGATTCTTTATGGATTTGTCGAGGGCCGTCACCGCGGTATCCAGTGCCGGGTGTTTTGTATGTGAGATAAAGCTGCAGGCCAGGTGACGACATTTTTTTGGGCCAAGACGGCGCACCATCCCCTGCACCTCGGGGGACGGGGACGACTAGGCAACTCACAAGAAAACAAAAACACGCCCGTACGTTGAACTCGACACCTGGCGCCTGGTTCTGTGACGCGGAACGACAATGTGTTTATTGTTTTTGTATGAAACGTATAAAGGCTAGCGCCGTATTATCGTGCGAGTCATTTAAAATGTAGGAAAAATGCAAATAGAAACGGATTTAAAACTTTCTAGTGACGTATTGCATCTTGGAGGGGCAGATATATTAAGGAAGCATGGTAAAAATGTCAAAGTATTCATTAAAAATAACTGACAAATACAAATATTTCCCACAAGGGTCACATTGGGTGATTTATTATTAAGAAGTAAATTATACGATCGTTAAAGGTTTGGAGAAAGCATGCCCTTAGAGCCAATAGCACGATAAATTCAAGAAAGTATACAATATACATTACATGTTGATACACATGACGAAGTTTAATGAATTTACTCCCCACATAAAAGTAAAACACGATATCGATTTTTAGAACGGACACAATGTTTGTCCATAACAGTTACTTGATAAGGCGCAATGGAGGTGATAAGAGAAGAGCGTCAGTGGCCCGCCTGCGACTTTACTCATCGGCCCCCACTCGTAACAACAATAACATATCGGGTCATTCATTCATAAACCGACGGGTAATCGTAACCAGAACTACCGCAGTTGTTAGGCGCATTATCGTTACAAAAACAAGGCACGTTTCACTACATCAATATCACATTCACTTCCCGATGAATTTTATAATAATGACTGTAATGCCTATGTATTTTCGATTTCCAAGTATGACCTCGCTACTTAGTTGCAAATTAATGTTTACATAGTCGCTTCAAACTCCCATCGTGCGGCTAAGCGACAACTACACGCGACATCGGAAGCGAGAAAAACAAAAAAAACAAAAACAAACTGCAATGACAAATCAAGGTGAAGCGATGGAGCAGATGTTTCCTTGGGGCGTAGCGCAGGTGCGTCTGAGCATCGGCCATGCACGTGCGTGCGTTCGGAACATTGGTTCATAACCGTACGTATAACATAAACATTTTAGACTATCGCATGGATACAGTAATATTTACGTTACACCTAAAGTAACTAAATGTACAATGGCGGAACACTTCTTATAATATTGAATTATTGGCACGTGTAATAACGTGAAACGCGAGAATGCATTCGTAAACAAGATGAAAATACTTTTACAACGCACGCAATCTTGCGTTGCAACAAATGGGACGAACATAACGCATGGCATTAAAGTAATGCGGAGCAAGCATATTTGCAAGAACCGGTCCAATTAATTTGCATTGTTGTTTTATAAGCATTATTTAGATCAATTAAATTCAATTTGAAAATACTACAGAGAATTATGAACTAGTTTGGTTCTATAAAACAAATTACGGCCGCCATGTTATAATCAAAATTAAGAAAAATTCACAAACAAAATAATGGAGCAATAAAACAGTTCTTATAATTTCAAAACTCTTACATCTCTACAAACAACCCTCTTTATTATTTTTCCCGGTTCGATATTTATTCAATATAAAATAAAGAAAACAAAAACAAACAAAATAATTCTAAATGGCTGCATTACAAAGCTTCCTGTTGTGTCTTACTTCGATACCTACTAATCTCTTACTAAATATACTGTAAACATTTGACTCACGCGGGAAGGCCCGACTCAACTTTTGTATCGTTGCATTAGCGATGTCGAAAAACGTTTCCGCATAAATATCAACCGGATAAAACCAACGTCGTTATTCCTCAGCAAACAATATGCATGCTTGCAACTTGTCGTATATCCGTCATTGTTATTATTACTAAACATTTTATCTATGTAGATATTATTTAATGAAGCCCTCGCCATGGCCATAAGCGACACTCAGGGGTTACAAAATTTTTGAGTTCTACCTCACTCCTCATGGGAAAAACAAAAGCATAAATACTTATTATTCACACTGGTCTTCCATGAGTCCCTTCCTTCCATGGGTTACTTATTCCACCCATCTCATCCGTAAAATAGTAGAAGCCGCTACATTTTTAGCATAGTGAGCCCCCTGAGACATAAATGGTTCTTCTCCGATAAATATCATTGGCTATAAACTCGTCTCTACCAGTTGTTCTGGTTATATATAAAAAAATCGCGGCTAGTACTTCTATAATCGTTTAGAGCTTAAAAGAAGATAGAAATACGCTTGGCTATTCCAAAAATCCCACCATCTATGTGGGAAAGATGGGTGCAAAGTATCTATTTTTTTCAGTAAAATATAAGGAGACGCGTGCCAGTATATATTAAACTTTTAAAAGCAGCCGTTAAAAGTGTAATAAAGTACATTTTAATGTTTACATACGAATTCATGGGGGTGATTCGAGTCAACGACCTTGCTCCGTCACCCTCGGCGATTATAGATCATGATGTATTCGACTTTACAGTTGGCCGCGTGCATGTAGATGGGAAAAATTTAATAAAGCAATGTATTTGTTTTATACGTTTTTTAGTTTTAAATTTACTTTAAACATTCATGGGAGTCAAACATCAATGAGTATACCTTTAAACAATTTCTTAATTACAAAGTCCACTCCACAGTCCACAAGTCGACATATAAGAAGGTTTCAAAATAAAGAGCTATAAAATTTATAATTTTAGATACACATTACCATACAAACAAGTTTCGACAACTTACGTAATCTAATAACTATAAAATAACAAAATGTCATTAAAAATAAAATGTTCCATGTAAATAACAAAAACACACTTAGATATGTTTTTATCTTATTTTTATTTTTAGTTTGCTACAAAATCCACAGTTCTGTTCCATTATACGTACATCTTGTGATCAAAAATAATAGCCAAAAACGGATTTGCATTATTTAAGTAGTATTATAACGGATATATCGAAGATAATCGTTTTTTAGAGACAAGACAAATATATTTTATATTTTTATATAAGGCAATAAAAATACAAAGTTATTACAGTCGATTCCATAATTAGCTTAACATCGTTTGATAAAGGGACACAGTCTATTTATATATTTCTGTCCGTATACAGATATTTTATTCATCATATCACGCTTTAAGAGGAGGAAAAACATGTTAACACAGCACCGAGGAAATTCCGAGAAATTCCGCGCGTTCGACAACCCTGATTGCTACGAGGCGCCTGGTGTAGGTTATCGACTGCGAATATGTCTGCCACAGCAGCCTTGGTCGGGTCCCTTGACCCTGCTGGGAGCAGTTAGGTACAAAAACCACCTGCTCGTAAGGCCCCCAAGGCGCGCACATGGCACGCTTCCGTCGACCAAATTCGTTATAGCGATGCCTTTGGAATGAATAACAACTTAAGGGGAAAACTTAAGGCTTAAATGTCGGTGTGCCATACACATATAAAGATTAATAAACAATTTTAACACAATTTCTCATGTAAATTTCAATCAAATACTATTATAATTAAATCCTCGAGTATATATTAACAACTTAGCTTTTGTTACTGTATCTACAACAAGTAATAACATTTTAAATTATGTTTTACTTATAGTTAATACGATATTTCGAACAATAAAGTAATGCATTATTCTTGGAACTAAACAAATTGAGTTCTAAATATTATTCAAAACTTTGCACTGTGTTTTCGTAACAATTAAGCGTTCAAGATAATAAAGCTTCTTGTAAATCGTTACTTTTGGCTGTAATGCTCTTAATTGGAGCTTACGGAGATTTTTGAGGATAATTAAGGGCAATAATAGTAATTAACGTAACCGCTAACAGAATGGGCAAGTTTGTACACACAAGTATACGTTCGTGGGTACATTAAAATTCGAATGACTTCGTACTAATTTACCTTACCAATACGTCTCGGGCGCGACAGAGCATGACGGTCAATGTCCTTAAAGTACCTTAAATAACATGTAAATAAATACGTCTGACAAAAAAAAAACACTCAACTGTAAGTTACTATTAATGAATGTTTTGGATAATGCTTAATGTAATAATTAAACTTTTAATTACTTTAATTTGAATCATGTACGTAAAAACATAATGAAGGCAAAACAAGTTATTTTTCTAGTTGATAGGCGGGTTGATAGGATTGAAATAAAGTCAATTGAGCTTGACGACAATATAAATACATTTGTCAGAGTCGTTTATAAGAACAGGAAAATTGGTATTCTAATAAAAACTTGTTTGGAAAAAGGTTTTCTATAAAACCAGTTGTAATAAAGAACACTTTTCGAACAGACACGTTCAGGATCTGTGTCGCAATTTAAATTAATATTCAACCCGATCACTACAAATGGTATCCAAGCGATCTACATTTACGCGGAAATTTGCAAAACACCAGACTGGTGCAATGACCCATGGACTCAAGGGTTGCGTGTAGTTTGGCACGTTTTTCGCGGGAGTCTTCATTCGAAGCCACATAAATACAAAATAATATTTTTTAAATAAAATAAAGACTGTTTTAAGCGTTCATTATAACATTGTCCACATGTAATATAAATATATATATTCAATATTTTTTTTGGTTACCGTTATTTATTAATATATAATACATATTTTGTTGAAAACTGATGATGATTATCATTTCTTCCACAATATATAGAATGTTTGGTATCCTATATGTTAAGGTAATGTCTATGGGAATATTCAGAAAAACTATGAACCAATCAATATACGCACTGAGTAAATTTTATTGTAACTTATTTATTTTTACGATATTCAATAGAAACCTTCACCTGTATTAACTAGCGTCCTGGGATCTACTTACATAATATTTCCGTTAATCAGATATTCCCATGCCTTTCTATTAATATTGACTATAAAGCTACTTATAAAGCAAACATTTAAACTTATTGCTGTTCCCGTTTTGAATGTACTAAATGTTCAAACGTTTTATTACTATTACATCAGGTTTTCGGGATTCCTGTCGATTTTTAAGTAAGATTGAAACGTAGCTATGTAAAATTTTTCTCAGTTTGGAAATTCGTAGCAATAAAAACGGGCATAAATCTTTGCATCAGCAACATCTACATCCAACATAGAAACAAAGATAAAATGGAAATAAATTTAGATGCGTGGGTAACCGGTATTAAAATGGATCTATTTTAAAGCCGCCGCCGCGCTAAAAATAAAATTTGTAAAGTAAGCGCGGGCCAGTCTATGGACAAGTAGCATGACGCCGCCTCAGCGCTGTACGCACAATGCGGCTCGATGGTATTCCGGTGGATGGAATTCCTTTTACTCGCACACTTTTATTCACTTCCCGCGCGTCTAGACGTTGACTTCTCGACTCTCTCCTCCAAATACAATCTTAGAACGGTTGCCTTTAAGATTCTTATTACATCCGGAGGGGGCCAACTTCTACCCGCATAAAAACGGCCCGTTGTCCTCGAAAAGTGCATTGATCTCGAGGCGCGTCCTTCTGTGGCACAAAAATCGCTGCACGTGATAAGGGCATCCCTTTCTTTTCCGCATTAAGAAACAAGTGCGAGAGGGACACAAGAAACGTAGTAGGCAGGATGCGTGTAGCGAGTTGCGGCCAATACACCCAAGCGGGCGCAATGAACGGCAGCCATTTACATGGAAGTACCATACCACGGTTTGGCGCCAACCACGAGGGAAATTTGCTAAAACTAGATTCTAATTTTTTTAATCGATTTTACCTTAACATCATTATTTTTAATAGTTAGGTGGTAAGCATATTTCAATGAAATTTAAGCCGCTTACAAACCTTAAAGTTAACCTAAAATTTTGGATTTTCATTAGATGATATGAATTGAATATCTTGATTTAAATATATTTTTATAAATATAATTATATATCATGGTGACGAGGACGAGTAAAGAACCCCCTAAGGTGGGTACGCCCTTTCTGTCTGGCTAGGGTAATCGTGTCTTAATACAAGCAAAATATTTCAATAAACTCTTTAGTGGCCCCTGTACCAATAAACTGAAACCATTACAAAACAAAATTAAAGTCCAACGCTTTTGATCTTTGCTTTGTATCATAATTTGAAAGAGCGTCTTTTCATAGTAAATATTTGGCGCCAAAACTTACGTTTTCAAAATGACGGAAACCACGTGCGTTAACGTACATTTGCCGCGTCCCACCATAGCATTTCGCTCTCCCTTATGTTATTTATTTTGAAAGCAATTTATCAATTAATGTTTTTAGTAATAATCTTATTAAAATATATCACTTTTACGAAACTAATAATAATTCGCAATTATATTAATATATTAAGTAGCACACATATGATTTCATTAAATTTATAATAAAATTGTTGACTATATATTCATCCTTTAAAATTCGATTCTACGAAATATGAGGCAGGATGGCATCAAACAATGATTTAGTAAAAAACGCTCGAAAGCTGCAATGCGTTTGGTGTGTGGGTGCAAATTCCACGAAGGACGGGGTCCCGCCACCTATATACACGTTCAAGGTATACCTGAATTTATATATATGGTTAAAGTAAAAAGTAAAGTGTCAGCCTATACATGTCCCACTGCTGGGAAAAGGCCTCCTTTGTACAGAGGGTACCTCTGTACGCGGCCCCACTGCGGATTGGTGGACTTCACATATCTTCGAAATATTTTTTTTTGTTATTATTTCGAAAATCTGCAGGTCTGGCACCGGAGATCGAGTTGCTCGAGTATATTAAATTAAAGGCGACTGCCCGGACACTGAGTTGTCACTATGGTTGGTTTTATTTAAATCCTTAGGCCAATAAAGAGGGTAAGTCAAAGGAAAATCAATTGATAACTTTGTAGTAACAGTGTTATTTTCTCAACTGTATTTTCTTTTAGATGAATAAAATGCCAACAGATTGAGTTGATTAAAACTTGAATGTCAGGCGTGTGTTCACAGTAATCTTATTTAAATTATTTATAATCTCAACCAGTCGTTGTCCTTTATTCGGAGCCAAAGGAGGTGAAAAAGGAAAAAGGTCCACAATCCGCAACGTCTGGCCGCTGAACCCGAGAGGCCCGCAAAAAGCTCGATACACCTACTACCAATTGAAATTCCTCGAAGATACCACTTGCTGCCTCGATCGGCTCTTTGTTCTCGAATGATGTTTTAGCATCAGATTTTAGCTTTGAAATTGACCGCCACGGTCGTAACGAGTTTTGAAATAATAGTAAGAATAATAATTTAATTTGTTTTTCTTAGATTTTCATTTCACACACTCGCCGCGTTATAAGGTTGTATGATTACGTGGAATAAATGAACCCATTGCATAAAGCTTAAGTCACGTACAACACGTCTGTCTATAATGTTCAGAGATTATTGAAATTTATTTCATCAAGACGAACGATCTAATATTTCGTTAATTTATTTAACAGTTGTTTAAGCGGGAGAACACAGTGTTCGGTTACTTTCCTCACTTAATCTGTCGCAATTAATACGTATTCTCATTACTAGCAGAGTCAAAAGCTCTATTCATTGGTGAAATGTTGGGGTTATAAAAATACAACATTAACAAGCGTTTATGTAAACATAAGAAATTTTCTTTATGATTATTTTCCTCTCGTATCTAACGAATAGCGCTTAACTAAAATTAAACACATCTATCTCTCTTTGGGATTGGACTTCGTTACGGAACGGACTTAATGGTCAATCGGTGATTGTAGTCTGTGCGGCCGTTAGTTTTTCGTTTGCACTGTCCTGTTCCGAGTGAGCGAGACGAGTGATTCAGGCGCGAGGAATGTGCGGCTTACGCGGCGCGGCCGTTCGCCGAACTTGGGGCCGCGTCGCCGCTGAGTCGGCTACCTACGTTCCCGCCATTCTGCGTCTGCCACCTCGAAGCCGCCTCCGTGGACCCCGCGCGCATCCAGGAATGTGCACTTTAGTTTGCGAAACGAGCGAGCGCTTCGCTCAATGTTGCTGGTAACCGCCTCCCATGGACACATACACAGAATTGGGTTTCTTGGCGTTGCCGAATAATAAAAGGGGTATGTTGCGTGGCCGGTTATCTCAGTCACTAATCGCAATGCAAGAATACAAACACTTCTGCTTTAAGATGATCTTCGTCAAGGTAGGTCCATTCGTAATACGGCGAAATCTGAAGAATTCATGGAGATGCAATTTTGTTTCTTTCACTTTCATTGTATTGGTAAAGCTTAAGGTGAACATTTTTATAGAATCACTGTGTTGATTTATTTAAAACAAATAATAATTTAAAAAAAACTAAAAAGTCACGACGAGGTATCGGATTTGGAACTAATCCTGAAGGTCCTGATCAGGATAATGGCAAAAACTAAAGGAGTGTGCAAAATTTGATTTAAATCTGATCGTTAAAAGTGGGGCGAAATCAAGTTTAAAGATTCCGTTACACTCATACATACATACAGGCGAAATAATAAATGCGTGTTAAAATTATTTAATAATACTGCTGCTAAAACGTGCACCTGATTAATAAATAAATCAATATAAAAATGCAAACTATTTAGAGGAGGTATTTCTACCTAAAATTTATCATTTCCTGCAATTGAAGTCAGGATGTGTACTGTACATATCGGGAATATTTATTATGTATTTGTATTATAAAATAAATATACGCGATAAAGAAAGAAACACGGAAAAACATTGAGAGATATATGCCACCAGCATATATCATGACACGTATTTACTGCGAAATTAGACGTATTAAGGTTAACAGACTCTATGAAGGACAGCCGTTGATATTCGGCGCTTGATACGCACAAGTTTTATATTATAGGCATGGTGGTGTCTTAGGAAAAGGCATAATAGAAACATTTTCAACGCGATAGATACTTGTGTAAACAGTGTTTTATTATCTGCGTTATCATTAGGTTTTCAACCGACTTCAAAAAAGGAGTAGGTTCTCAATTCGATATTGTATGTTTTTTGTTTGTAACCTCAGAAATCCGTCATTTATGAACCTATTTTAAAAATTCTTTACATGGGGTTCCGTATATCTGCCATGTGGTCCCGTATAAATTTGATTGGTATTGTTGCTTCGACTTCGGAGATACATCAAGGAATATATGAAAATGAAATGGAAAACGTATTATAGTGAGTGATTTATGTATATCACATATATAATGTTTTTGTTAGGATAAATTATAAACACGAGATAAACAAAATATTATGTTTAATAACATGTTTCACGGTCATTATTTTTGAGATCACACAAATACTAAATGTATTTGAAATATATTATGTTTTCTGTTAGCATAAATTATTAGCACGAGATAAACAAAATATTATGTTTAATAACATGTTTCACGGTCATTATTTTTGAGATCACACAAATACTAATTAAGAACAGTATTTCACGTCCATACCATGATATCGCGAACAATTCAAGAACAAAATACTACCGTATAAGTGTTAATTGTGTTGTATCGTGATAAAAACGGAATGACGACGTTATAACGTATGTAAAACGGTTTAATGTCCATTGTGTTAATGTTACAAATAATAGACAAAATTCTCGTTGCCAAGGCCGCTACGTTGGAGTACCAGAGTGACTGCGAGCAGTGAGGTTGTAGACCCAGACGTGCACCCACACCTAGAGGTCCCGAGCTGTCAAGGTTTCGGACTTACTAGGTACGTCGATCTTTTGTTATTAACATCGAAGTAAGTCCGACCTATCTTCTATTTTATTTGACCTTAATATTTATACATTTTACTTTTTAACCGTAATAATTTCTCCTCTAGGATTCAAAATAATAATAAAATAAAAATAAAAAATAATGCACGATAAACGTATATTTTGTTCCAAATAAAGAAAACAAAAAGAAGCTAAAGAAGTTTTCACTGCAAAAACCAATAAATTTGTTGCTATTTCTTTATATTATTCTATAAAATATTTGCTTTGGCAAGTAAGAATACTATAAGCGTATGCCTTAGTATTCCCTAATAGCGTTTATTGGTATCTAATCGATATAAGAACTAGCATACATAGAGAGCTTTCTGAAATCTTAATACCGGAAACCATAAGAAAGAAGGCACTGAGAAGGCACTGAGAAGTTCCGGCATGAGTCACGATGTCGGCGTGTAAGACTCAACCGAATTTGTGTACATTTTAAAACAACAACACCGATGAACGATTTTTTTATATGCTATTCTATAATAAATATTTGCTTTGGCAAGTAAGAATACTATAAGCGTATGCCTTAGTATTCCCTAATAGCGTTTATTGGTATCTAATCGATATAAGAACTAGCATACATAGAGAGCTTTCTGAAATCTTAATACCGGAAACCATAAGAGGCACTGAGAAGGCACTGAGAAGGCACTGAGAAGTGTGGGTGGTCCGGCATGAGTCACGATGTCGGCGTGTAAGACTCAACCGACTATTTGTGTACAATTTTAAGGCAACAACACCGATACGAGAACGATTTTTAAGGAGTATTGCTATCATAATATCAAGACGAAGAGAAAAATGACATCTAAAAAAAATATCAAAAATTCGATTCAAGCAGACCAATATCATAATAAATAAAAATAAATTCTTTTCTATTTTGTTAAGTAAACGCAATGAATGTCGTGAGAATGTCGTGTCGTAGCCGCGTGGACGAAAGGCGTGCGTCCGCGCTCATTCACTAACGCGACGCTCGACTTTGGCGCCCGCTTCTCCCCACACAATGAACTGAACATATAGGGCGACGGTCGAAGGCGCATTGCATCGGCCGCACCCAACTAGGAACTTGTACAACAATGCCTTCATTTTAGGGCAATCGCACTGGGGACGGAATCGTTGAACTTAATTCTCATATGGCCAATTTGATGGGTTTAAGTACGTGCAGGCGTATGCGGTTCTCGTGTATGCGTGGTAAATATCACCACTGATCGATAAACGAACGTTTCGTGGAAGCCTCGATTCGCTTCGGCAATACGGATTTATCACACTGTTCAAATAAGTAAGCGTAATTGACAAAATATGGTGTCAAGTGTAAGTAAAAAGAAACCATACTGTTATCGCATAAGTAGGTTAGATTAGGTTAGGGTATGATATGTTATTACTACTATAAAACATAATTAAGTAAGCCATTGAAGCAAAGACTACCATATTATTTTATGCGACGAACAGGGATTCAGTTATATTTAGGCGTATTGACATAATTTCTTATCACGAGTTATATTGGCTGGATGATCAAGACTAGTCATCAACCAATTATTCACAATATATATTATTAATACAAATGATCTCGATGTTTTGGACAATTTTTTGTTATAACTAGTATGATTGCATCTTTTAGAGGTACCTTCTTCATTCATTCATGATATTTGAGAAATAATGTTGAAAAAATGTTCGCATAAGATATAAAGATAAGCTAGTTTCGTCAGTGACTTATGGAAAGGAAGTAATAATGATTTTTATTATAGCGTAATAAACCAAACATGGCTTCAAGATTAAGAAAACGGAGTATTGTCATATTATTTTCCTGATATACTTTTATTGCACTAAGAAAATTCTCATACCAATCGTATGTCTATAGATGGTTTGCCACAAAATTCCAGGAATCTTTTTTTTATTCTTCTATTCATATGAATTCATTCATTATAAAATCTATTGATTCTAGCAATATAATATTAGGGACACAGCCTTTTTAACGGTATCCACGAGTATGTTTACCAATGCCATGGGAGAGCGTACGAATGTCAATATCTAGGGAATCTTTAAGCCTTTATCTTCTGTCAATTTGGTGATATTCCATGCACCAAAACATCAGATGTGTCCTTAATAGGGCCCATCCACATCCAATGTGTATGTATCAAGATACGGAGCAAAAAAGCTAAAACACTCCCCAAAACAGCTAAAGCTACGGGTATAATATTAAAACTATCATTTACGGATGTGATTTTGTAATAATAATTTTACTTTAACTCCCAAGAGTTCAAGTATAATAATTAGTATGCTTTTTTAGTGCATAACCTGTTTGAAATCTCTGTATGTATCCTAAGAGTGCTCGGAGTATTCAGTATACTGCTAACTGAGCATGAACAATAACCTCAACATTCACGTAGGATTGTCTTATGCTAAAGCAAATATCCCATATTTTGTCCTACTGTTTTATTTAAGCTAGCGTTTTAAGTTAGCTCTAGAATCAGCAACAGAAACTCCTTAACAAACGGTGCTTTGAACTTCTCTAGTGTTTCAAACAGTTTCTAGTGTTTAACACTAGGTAAGTCGATTGTTAGTTTATGTCATCCTAAAAGCACTGGTGCAAAACTACTTATAGGTATCTGAATCTGAATTAGCAATCCCCCCAGTCTCGGGCTATATTATGGGTGCTTGAGTTTCTTAAACTTTAGTATGCCTGAAGTTAAATAATCAAATACCTCGCTTTTGCTTCCATCGTCATTCTGAGTCTAATCTCTCTATGAGGGCGTCCTTCTGAAATGGAATATTTTGATATTTGTATTTTCTGACGTCCGGTACTAAAAGTGTATTAATTTCAAAATAATGCTAAATATAATGTTTTTATGTGAGAAGAAGGCAAAAGAGCTGGCTGTTATCCTGATGTTAAATGATAACCACCGCCCATTGACATTTGCAACACCCGTTAGGTGGCTGATAGTAAGTAATAAGATCCATTTATAAAACAATAAAATCCATTAGAATTCGATGAGACGCAGCGAAAGAGCTGAACATATTTCGATCTTCAGACGACTCTTCACCTTCCAAAAGTTTCGTCGGTACAAATGCGCCGAAATCACTAAAAGCGTGGCGAGACGGTCGTTACGTGCGTGTTATTAACCTTGTTCGAGACGGGCGGCGTAATTTCGGCTGTTCACCCCAAGCCAGACTGGTGTGCGCGTCCGGGCCTCAATCGCTAGTATTCAAATTCGCCCTTGTCTGGCCCTGTGTAGGATT